GGGATCCTAAGAAGATGCAGAAATCCTGGCTGTAGTCTGCAAGGCTGCTTTGTTCAAGCTGTTTTGAATGTTGAATCACCTGGTACTCTGTTTCAGGGGGTCTGGCTTGCTCAAACCACATTAGTCTGGAAGGAATCCACTGCTTTTCATTTTCTGTGGAAACAAAAATAGAAATCCTTTTCCCCAGTAACTTGTCCTTGAACTTAAATGTTGGAGTCAAAGCATTTTTAAAATATATAAATTGAATTAATCCAGCAGCATTTTTTTTAAACAGTTGTTGTTTCCTCAGCAGTCAAACAATACAAAGACAATATAATGCCATACAGTATATAAATTCTCTCCATCTGTGGCTTTTTTATTATTCTGTTTCTTTTCTATTTTTTGAGACAGGGTTTCTCTGTGTATCTCTTATCTGTCCTAGAATTTACTCTGCATACCAGGTTTACTTTGAAATCACAAGATCTGCTTGCATCTGTCTCCCGAGTGCTGGGATTAAAGGCGTGTGCCACCACACCCAGTTCCTCTTTCTCTTTTTAAAACCATTTTATTTTTTTTTTCCATGTCTACGTATATTTTAAAACACACTGTAAACCTTTAGAGGTTTTTCTTAATATGAATCTGTCTTTACTGTAAATCTTTATCTTTTTCTGGCCATGAGTATTTTATCTGGTAAACAACAACATTGCTAAAATGAAAGTCATTGTTGTTTCTGCCGCGATTTACCAAAGATGGCTGCAGCTATTTTACTGCCAGCACTGAGAGCTGTGCTCACTGCCTTGGTCTGCATGCTGCCGGCTTGGAGATGTGGTCACTGCCATTGCAAGCTCTCATAGACACCAATAAATTGTTAGCAGTGCTTTTTAAAAGCCATGCGGTTTTTGGCCGCTTATGCTGAGTCAGGAACCTTCCCTTAACGGAGCCGCGCGAATATTCAGGGGTGAGTAGCATTCCATTATATAAATCTACCACATTTTTTTTTCATCCATTCTTCACTTGTGGGGCATCTGTGTTGCTTCCAGGTTCTGGCTATTACAAATCATGCTGCTATGAACATAGATGAAGAGATGCCCTTGAATGAATGTGCATCTTTTGGGTAAATGCCTAAGAGTGGAGTACTACTCAGCAGAAAAAAAAACAAAACAAAAAAAAAAAAAAAAAAAAACAAAAAAAAACAATAGAATCTTGAAATTCTCAGGCAAATGAATGGAAATAGAAGAAACCATACTGAATGAGGTCACCCAGTTACAAAAAGACAAACATGTACTCACTCATATATGGATTTTAGACAAAGAGCCCCAGCCTGTAATCCACACCGCCAGAAATGCTAGGAAACAAGGAGGACCCTAAGAGAGACATACATGGTCCCCCACGGAAGGGAAGGAGGACAAGATCTCTTGAGCAGATTGAGAGCATTGAGAAGGGGAGAGGGAGTTAAGAGGAAGAGGAGGGAGGTAGAAGAAGGGAGAGGAGGGCGTGAGGGAGTAGAAAAATTGAGTCAGGGAAAGAATAGAGGAGAGCAGGAAAAGAGATACCATAGTAGAGGGAGCTATTACAGGTATAAAGAGAATCTAGTTTTTAAAATATTTAGGCACAAGAAAGACGTGAGATATCTACAAAGAATGATAAAGGAATGTGTTCCTATACCTGTAAATGCCAGACCCAGTAATGTGGTGTAAGATGGGAGGAGTCCTGGGAATACAGCTAAGCACATGCCTGAGAAGATGGGCTAATGATGGATAGACAGACAAGAACAGAATGGACAAAAGGTAGTGCCCATGTCATCGTCCTTTTCAAATGTTTGGCTAATGTATGTGGGAAACCATTGAGAAAACTGTGATAACTATATCAGCTGAGGACAAAATTAGAGTAACAAGAAAGTGTATGAATTTGAACTCTTCTAATCTATGCTAAATTTAAAACGCAGTTTCTTGTTGAATATACTCCAAATAATAGCAGTAGGCTCTGGAGACGAATAAACAACTGAGAGACACTTCCCTGGGTTTCCTCACGTGGGAATTTGTGAATAAGTTGGAGAATGGCTATATTTATGTTAAAGGGAGAAGCTCCATGGCCATAAATATCAATATCATTTCATGATTTTCTTCTAGCTACACATTCAATTTCATTATTACTCTGTACTTTATCAGTTTCCACCTATGATTACACTCCGTTTAACCTGATGTAAATGTTATGGTAATTGAATTAAGCCTACAATCTATTAGCTGGTTAGCACTTGGCAGTTTATAGTACTTAACATGGGTTCCAAAGGATTGGGTAGCTAAGGATGATGACTTTGTACCTTCAGAGTGGTGAGTCGTCTAAGGGGAAGATTTCAGGAATTCCTCAGAGTTGATGTCTAGTGCTCCAGCCAGCAATTGCAGAATACATTTCTTTGTGCTTGTTATGTCTGTACACAATCCTAACCTCAGACAGTTGCTGGGCTTTTTATTTTGAAGAATGGAAGTTTCAATTTATTCTCTTTGAAACAAACTGCTTTGCCTACTGTTCTGTCACTGTGTGGTAGATGGCTTGCGGCGCATTTGTTGTGGTCATTCTAGCACAATGCAATATCCCACCAAGGAGATTGTGGGCTGATGTTAGGTTGTTTGTTTAACTTAGTTCTTTTTGATCACTTGTTTTTATGACTGTCATGATAGCTTTCATGACAGTAGAGGAATGAACAATTAGTCTAACACACAGTTTTGTTATTTCTTGGGGGGTTTGTGCTTCAGGATATCTATAATTATGTGTGTTTTTATTGAGCTGGTTCATTGAACATGTCACTGTGGTCACTGTAGCACTGGACCAATTACCTCTGCTTACTACAGGGTACCTGATAATTATGTTTTTCCTTTGGAAATTATGATACACACACACACACACAGAGGCATGCATGCACACATGCACGCACACATGCACGCACACATAGAAGTGATCTATAGAAGTGATCGATCGACGATATCATTGCATTTGTTATTTTAAAAATTAAATTATAGAAATACTACAAATAAAATACGGCTCAGTTAGTAAAGTGTCTGCCTCACAAGTACAAGGCCCCAAGTTTTTGCTGCCCACGTGGGCATAGTAGTGTAAGCCTAGTAATGTAATTTTGCAATGCTAACTCCAGGGGGAGGAACAAAAAGGGGAAGATTGCCAGAGTATGCTGGCCAGATGGTTAAGCCAACTTTAAAGCTCTCATCTCAGTGATAGATCATGTCTCAAAATGTAAGATGGAATGTGGTCAAGGGAGACACTGATTATCAACTTCTGTATAAAAGCACTCACCTGCAACACATTGTTTACACATGAATTGTACATAGTTATGTGCACATACAAAATAAAAATAATTCCTCAAAAAAAGAAATAAAAATATTCAGGATAATACTTTAAAACTTTGAATAAAGTTAAAACCTAGAAACCAATGTTTCTGAACATTTACCATGTGAATTGTTGGTGAAATGCCAGGGTGAAATGTCAGTGTCCTTTCATGAGTTTGATTAAAAAGAGAAAGTTAAAAGGTCCAAATTCTTAGTATCTGAGAGAGCCCCATGACATTGTAAGTCAATGTGTTACATTTCCAGAAGCAACAAGCTTGGATTTCTAGAGAAAGGGTTCAGTTGGATTCTGGTTACATAATAAGCATTTTGGAGCTATCCTGGGAAAACAATTCATATTTTTATGTCTCAATATTAGTTATGTTAAATTGTTTTATATATTTCACACATACAGATACATAATTCTGATCATAGGTAGGTCACTATTTTCTGAAGGTGTGACCTATGGTAGTATCCCATTTGCTACTGGAGGGGCTCATATCCAAGCACACATTTGCATCTTACATGGATTTGGTGGGTTCATAATTTTGGTAAAGAGGGCAAGAAATTAGGAGATGCTTTGTGGTACCAGAGGAAGCTGGGTGGTAGAACTATTCCATATACATTATTTGTGATTTAGCAAGCCTAAATGAAAACTCTACATAGTATTTATAGCCTCTCATCCCTTCATTTAAATTGCTTTGTTCAACACCAGAGTGAAATTTTGTAGGACAATATTATACACGTTTAGGCAAATTGAATTTATTAACACCAAGGATGATCATTAGAATATTTATCTGTGCAAGTGTCTTCTGTTTCTTTGTCAGGTTTTCAATATAGATGTGTAGACATACCAGGATAACTGAGGAGACCACATGTGCTTGAGAGAATCTCTAAGGGATCTGAGGCTTTATACTCAATAAACATCTGCAGCTTTGCCAAAGCGTTGATTATAATATTTGCTCAAGAATAATTGCTCTGAGGAAATACGATGTCTTTTCATTTCCACCTATAACAGGAATGGTTTGACACAATTTTTTTTAAAAAAATGTATTATTGAAGTTTGGAGTCATAAAATCTGAATTCACATCTTCCTTCTTATGTGAGGTTGGAGAATTAACTACTCCTTTTGTACACTTCCATTTCTTTATCTGCAAAATGAGAAGAGAAATGTTCATAGCATTGTTTAATGGCTGAATGAGATAAGTTTTGTTAGCCTTGTTTTGAATACTAATGGTATGGAAATCCAATTTAGATTCCTTGGTTGGAAAACTGAAGAAATGGCCATGTATATTTATAATAGAAATGGTAATAAATGTTTCCCAAGAATTGTGCTCTCTCCTAAATATTAGCATTTTCTCTCATTGACTTCCACATGCTTCAGATTTACTTCGTTTTGATTTGCATTAAAGTTAAAGATCAATTATTTTTATCAAGTACCATATGTTGAAGTCTTGATGATAAGATTCTTGCTATTTGCTTTTTATTTTCCAACCAATTGACTTGACCACGGTCGATGTTTTAGGGATATTATGAGGTTTTGTTATTGTGTAACCGTCATAGGGTACACAAAAGAAGATTGTCGAAGTTACTTGGTGACCTAATTTTCTGGGACCACTGTTGTGGTATTTTGCAGTCTGTTGACTGGATCTCTGTGAAAATAAGAGAGACAATGGAACTGGAAAGATGGCTTACTTTGTAAAGTACTTACTCTGCAACAAAGAAGAGGGCATGAGCTCTGTCTCCAACACTCATGTAAAAACAGTCCTACGCCAATTCCAATTCCTCTCCCTCCTGACCTCCTATGTTCATATTGGGATTGGTATGTAAAATAAGATTGTTTCTAATTCAAATATTTTATTTAAAAACAGTACTATGCAATGGTGCACACGTGTGACTCTAGTGCTACCTGCCAGAAAACAGGCTCAGTGAGACACACAGTACACACACTGGCACACATAAACTGAAGATATTTTAATCATATGTATTTAGTATGTTATGTTTTTTGGATATGATATGTACTATTTAAGATTAAGGTGTTGATAGCTTGATCTTCAGCTGGTGAGTCTAATTCTTGAGAGATGATCACTGTGAGGGCCTCTGACTTCATGTATGGATAAATTCATTGGTGTGGTGAGTCTATTGTGAGGTGGTAGAAAGTAGGACATGGTAATTATCTCACTTTCCAGAGAATGTGAAGGAAGCCATAGGAGTCTAACAGAGAAGGTCTCCTGCTATGATGTTCTGTTTCCCTTCAGGCCCAGAAACAACAGACTTGAACACCATGAATCAAAGCAAATCTTCCGTTTTTCAAGTTATTTTACACAGAGATTTTGTGACAACATTGAAGTGATATAGATAGAACAAGAAAAGTATTTGTCATTGTTTTATCTGATTTGTCTTGTTTTCTGTATTACCTGTCATTTGTGGGAAATCCTGGGATGACGCCCCTTCTTGGCATTTGGCTATTTATTCTTTGTTTGAAATTTTTATTTTGTTTTATGCTTACTAGTGTTTTGCCTATATATATGGAACTAGAGTTAGCTATAAGCTGACATATGGATCCTGATAATCAAACCTAGCATTTTGAAACCAGGACTTTTGAAAGAGAAACACGTTCTATTTCAATCCAAGAGCTGTCTACCCAAGAACAAGCTATTTGTTCATTATGCAAGTACATATTTTAGTTCCACATACGCTTTAGGCACCATCTTGTGTATGGGGTAATAGTTATGCATAAGGCATAAACAGTTTTTTTTTTCATAATTAAAGTAAGGAATGAGATAAATCTAACAAAAATATTCCATAACATTCTATTAATAAAATAGCTCATAAATAAAACAAGAAAAACATGGATTCAGGATATTGGATGGTGTTTCAGTGCTAAAGACCATGTACTACCCTTGCAGAGAAACCATGTTTGCTTCCCAGCATCCAAGTCAGATAACCAACGGTATTTTCCACTATTCTGTATCAGTTGGTACCTGGAATCTCTCATAAGCCCATACATAAGCACACATATAATTAAAAGTAAAACAAAAAGCCAGTAGTTACTGGGGTAATAAGCATACCTAAGATAATAAGAAAGTATTTTGTTTGTTTGTTTGTTCTATGTTTTTTGGTAGTAAGTTTTTAGGACTAGCAAACAAGAAAGACATGTGATCTAAGTTCAGAACTCAAACATTCAACAGAGTCAATTAGTGTAAAGACCCAAGGAGATCTGTAGACAGTGTGTAGCCAATGAGAAGATTGGTTAAAAGAGCTGCTGAGACTTCAGTCTAGTAGGAGGCTACTACTTGAACCGGTGTGCAGTGAAATAATGGAATAGTATAACCTATGAGAGCCAAATATCCTCGGTGTAGTGTTTCTCAAGCTTGCTAATGCTGTGACCCTTTAATATATTTCTTCAGGTTGTGATGCCCCCATCCATAAAATTATTTTAATTACTACTTCATAACTGATTTTATTGCTGTTATGAATCTTAATGTACATATCTGATATATGGCCCACAAGTTGAAACACCTCTGCTATAGACTCTTATGGGTCTGCAGATTTTATTATTGCCTTTACTGGAAATACAGGAAAATTGTATAATGAAATGTGAACCAGCCATTGCATACCATCTGTCCCTATCTACACACCCTACATCCAATGAAACAAAAACTGTATGTTTAAAAACATTTGCACTAAAATATGTGGGGTTTCAAATGTGTTTGTTCCCTAAACTATTGTAAGATGGCTGTTTACATTTACATTTGCATTGAATATCACAAATGATCTGGGCACAATTTGAACTTCTAGTAATTCTATGCCATTTCATGTAAGGGACTTTAGGTGTTCCATATTTTGGTGGCCTCAGATCCAGGAACCACTTTCTCATAAAAAGGTCGTTCAGGACTAGCAAGATAGCTCAGTGGGAAGAGAAAGGGCCTTGCTACTATGCCTGAGTGAGATCTCTGGGAGCCAGATAGGTAAAGAACAGAGAAACAAAACAAAACAAAACCTTCTTACAAGTTGTACCCTGACATCCATATGTGGGTACGCATACTCCACCACACCCACATATACACATACCCACCCATCCCCACCCATCTCCACCCATGCTTACCCATACCCCCTACATATATCTAGATGCATATGCTCATTTTATTAGTAACATGGATAACTGAAAGATTTAGTCTTTTCAATCCTGGGAAAACAGCATTCATTGACTGGAAAAATGGTGGAATCTGACACTTTACATTTTTTTGTTTATTGGAATAACTGAATAACCCCACAAAGGTGGCCAGGGTGACTGAACTAGGTTATTTATTTGATCCAAATCTTCCTCAAGCTTCTGATTTTACCTCTCTCTGCATCTGTGTTACTCATATGAAAACTGGGGATTAAAGTATTTGCCTTTAAAGAGCTCTGAATTTTGAATGAAGGAAGTCCAACATTGCCGGAGACCGCCTGGAGCATTTTCAGTGTTCAGAATGGGCAGGAGTTTAGCATAAATGCACTCCTGGGATTTGGCTGCTTTATTTAAAGCCAGCCACAGTCCCTCCGGTAGTACACTGGCACCAGCTGTTTTGCTTGTCCGACTCTTTTTTGTCATTTGTTATATTTTACTCTATCACTCAGCACAGGTTAACTTCTGGCATCATTCCTATACCCCACAGCCGACTCTGTGGCTTGGATCAGAGAACACTTCTCCCTTCTCACATCACACTTAGATAAAGATTTGTATTTGTAAACTAGAACTTCAAAGTTTGTCATATCAGAAATTTTGTGGTAAAAACTGGAGAGATGCAGATGGCTGAGTGGGTAAAGAGTTTGCCACTCAAGTAAAAACCTGAGATAGGATCCCTACACTCTGTGTAAAGCCATTCAGAGTAGCACGTGCTCATAAGACAACTCCTCTTGTAGCAAAATGCGAGAAATTCTAGAAGGAACCCTGTTTCAAACAAGATATTAGGCAAGGATGGATACTGAAAGTTGTTTTCTGTATATAATGATAGGTAGACAACGACTAGCTTGCACACACACACACACACACACACACACACACACACACAAAGCTGAATGTTTACCCACAAACATTAAGCAATTAGAATAAATACATAAAAGTAACTTGTGTGGTAAATAATTTTATTCCCATGCTAAATTTCTCCTATATTACTATAATTTTCCATAAATGTCTCAAAATGCTCCCAGCGAGCAGCATTTATCTGTGAATTTCACAGTTCTCAATGTTTCCGATTCACTCAAACTTTGATAAGTCTAGGAGGAGGTGGGTGGGGATCAGAACAGGACCACACCTGGGAGAGGCTTGAAGGCCAGGACCTGGAGCCCAGTTCCTGCCGTATTTGCCATCTGACTTTGAAAACATCCTTTTATCTTTTTGTTCTTTGTCACCATTTTTTCAGAAAAAAAGTAAAATTCTCGAAAAAAAATTATTATTTTTCTTGAAAAATTTTAATGCAAATAGAAAAATTTTAGTTTGGTCCTTGCCTACCTGTTTCTAACCATGTGCTGTGCTCTGGAGAGCCTTGGCTGGTCTGGCTTAAGTGGCCTCGTCAAAGAGACATTTATCATTTGTTTGGAGTGGCAGTGTCATTAATCATTTCTGTTTCCCCCTTTTCCTTTTGGGTTCGCTTTAGCTGAATAAGCAGGAAAGAGAACAATGAACAACATTATGGAAATGTTAATTCCTGCTGTGGCTGAGTAGCCCTTAATCACACTATTAAGTGTATTCTCTGATTTAATCATCCTGGCTGACAAGCAGGAAGGATGGGATGGACGTTGATGAATGTCTGTCATTATCTTCTGATATGGATGAGGTTGTTTTCTCTCTAAATGTTAGTTGTATTTTTTTCCCCAGAAATAATAGGCTGTATATAAAGAAGGGGTATATAGAATCTCTCTCTCTCTCTCTCTCTCTCTCTCTCTCTCTCTCTCTCTCTCTCTCTCTCTGTGTGTGTGTGTGTGTGTGTGTGCGTGCATACGTGTGGAGGAATACACATAAAGGGATGTATACATTCATGTGGGTACAGAGACTGATATTGGCTGTCTTCCACAGCCACTCTCCTCTCTAAAACTTTGTGACAGGATCTGTCGTTAGAGCTCACTGGTTTGCTTTGTCTGGCTGGCAGATGGGCACTGGGGCCTGGCTCTGACTGTCCCATGCTAGGGTTACAGACATGCCTCCTTCCCCAGCTTTTGATGTGCTGGTCCTTATGCATGTTCAACAAATTACTTTGCTTACCGAGCTGTATCTCCAGCCCTACTGTGTGTCTGTCTTTTTCTTCTATATCATTACTTAGCTGACTTCACTGTGTTTACACACTGAAAGAAATGATTTGGCCTTAGAATTTTAGTGGCCTTGGCTTTCTTATTTTCTGTGCCCACACACTCCATGGAGCTGCAGTCACAGACAATGCTTAGTGCATGTAGAGTTTCTTTCCTTTAAAGACACTGCAGTCAAACTGCCTTCCTGGGGTCCTTACCCTCACAAGTGCTTCCACCACCCCCACCCCCCGGGATGGTGTTAGAGAAAGTCCTCAGCATGTGACCTACAGGCAAGCACCACTGTTTTGCTGGAGGTTTTCTTTTGGATTCTTAGGAAAAATCCAGTTGTAGCTGGATGCTTATCTCACAGGGCTTTATATTACTCATAGATGAAGACATGTTCTTCTGCTTCCAGAAGTTAAGAGCACCACCAGGGCAGCCAGAGTCTTCTAAATTTCATATCACTTACACATGGCACTATGACCCTTGCACAACATAGAACAGAGAAATCATTAACATAATGATTGTATATACTTTTATATTATTTTATGA